CGTGTGTGTGTGTGCGTTCTTGTGTGGACGAGCCAACGTTAACATCATGGTCGTCTCTCGGTTGGTGAGGAGCGCTGCCGCAGCGTTTTCTTTCCACAGTTGCCGCGGTTACTGTGCGTCAGCTTGCTGTCCATCAAGCGAGGCTGCTAATTGGCCAAAAGGCCACGATCCTCATCCTCCCCTCATGAGTTTGGCTTTTCTTCTCGTCCTTCTGCTTTGCTCCTCTTTCATTTTCCTCTCTCATCTTCACATCTCCCCTCCTCTCCTCTGCCTCCTCAGTCTTTCCTTCCTCTCCTCTCACAGCCGAGGTGACTGCAAGTTTACAGTCATAAACTTTTGACGTTAGCTTGATATTTTCATTTTGCTTGGAAGCCGTGAAGATTTTCCTCATTTGGTTGTGATGCAGAGAGAACAACCAATGCTTTAGAGTGTGTTAGTGTCTCACTAAGTGTGTATGTGCGTATGAATAATGAATTATTCCTAAGTGACCTGCTTGCTTCCCAGTTTGCCCAGTATTCTGGATTTCCATTCTCCACTCTTGAGTGGCCCGGCCCTGTACTTAAACCCTAATCTCTGCGTGTGTGTGTGTGTGTGTCTGTGTGTGTGTGTGTGTGTGTCTCTGTGTGTGTCTCTGTGTGTGTGTCATGTTTTCAGAGGACAAAAATGTGTCCAAACGTCATCTTGGCCCAATTAAGGAGCGACTGTCCCTTCACATCTTGAGGAAACTGGGATTGGTACCCGAACATGTGGAAACCAGACCACTCTACAGCCCGCTCCAACCTGACATAGAGCAGGTAGCACGCACACACACAATCCTGCACTTGTGTGTGTGCTTAAGTTCTTCTCAGTTTCATCCTTTCCCGCTTTTTTTTTCCTGAGCATTTTCTTACCTTTTGTTTGCTTGTCGGTGCTCTCTGTCAGGGGCGTCTGATGATGTGGGTTGACCTCTTCCCCAAGTCTCTGGGACCACCTGGACCGCCGTTCAACATCACGCCACGAAAGGCCAAAAAGTAGGAACACAAACACACAAATATGTCAAGAAAGGCAAATCCATTTCCCGTTCTGATAACCAAAACAAGTCAATCAGTATCTGAGGTAATTGAATCTTTTTTTTTTTCAGGTTCTTCCTGCGTTGCATCATCTGGAACACCAGTGATGTCATCCTGGATGATGTCAGCATCAGCGGGGAGAAGATGAGCGACATTTATGTCAAAGGGTAAGAGGAACAAATCATTTAACTTCAAAATAAAGCTAAATAAACTGGGTTAGGGTCACAATAACTGATTCTGTCTTTCAGCTGGCTCGACGGACATGAACACAACAAGCAGAAGACAGACGTCCACTACCGCTCTCTGGGAGGAGAGGGGAACTTCAACTACAGATTCCTGTTTCCCTTCAACTACTTACCAGCAGAGCAACTGTGCGTCGTCGACAAAAAGGTAACAACGAGCCCAAATACAGCGAAGGACCCTGTGTTTGGTTTGAATAAATTAGACCCACTGGGATATAAAATCCACTGTGGTGAGGCTGTGATTTCATGCCATCGTCATGATCTTTAAGACTAAATTTAGCAATCACTTGACAATAATTTATTATGCTGCATATGCGGTTTAGAAACCAACGAAGAGACGAGTGTTGAAAAGTTTGAAAGAAAGATGTTCTGGGAATACTTATACTGGGCTTTGAAAGTTGTGTTTGGACACTGATACAATTAGGCTACCAATCTACATTTTCCCCTTCAATAAGTGGTGAGTAACTAATGCACTTTCTGTGAACTAACCTTTCAAGTAAATGTGAGGATTCCCATTTGGAAATGCCATCCATCCAGCTTGTTGTAACTTTGCCAGGGTATGATTTTAGCATCTGACCACCAAAGTAGAGGAAATGCAGGGACGAGCTACCCCTCAGTAGTTAAAGCACATGTACGTCATCACCTCTGTCACAGCGCACCACACAAGTAGATTAAAAACCACAGAGAAGTCAGAATACTAGAATACTTTAACTTAAAACCGAGAAAGTTCTGAGTGACCTGATGACATTTTTAAGAGTAGTGTTGTTGCTACTATGCTAACTAATCTATGCTTCAATAACATTTGAAATTAATACTATTCCTGAAAATCATCCTGGAGCACAGATATTCCTGACATACTTGACGTTTTGAACATAAAAACACAGGGATAATGAGGTGTTTATAGTTTGTTACAATAATGAAATATTCACAGGCATCAAGGGTTAGGGTTAAGGTGGGATGTACAGAAATGCAGAAATAATATTCAAATTATTATAGAAAATGTATTCTATAGAGCAGCGGTCCTAAACCCCTGGCCACAGAGCGGTACCGGTCAAGAGTCGCTTGGTACCGTGCCGCACGATTTGAGACTTGAAATTTATGGTTTTCAGGGTTTTTATCGTTAACTCTGTTTCCCTGGGTCTTTTCCCGTGTTGTAGTTGTGAGTCTTATTTTGAAAGAACTATTTACATGTTACCATAGTGACCAGAGAGCATTAAGGGGCAGAGGATGTTACTCTCAATGTTGTTGGCACATTTCAGGAGGACGCTGCATTTTTTTGTGTTGGTCAATTCATTTTATTTTGTTGTATTTATCCGCGACACCTTAAAGGCCGGTCGGTGAAAATATTGTCTGACATTAAACAGGTCCGTGGCACAAAAAAGGTTGTGGCTGCTATAGAACAACACATATTTGGAAGGAATGCCTGAGATGTATTGTAATCAGAGATGGGCAGTAACGTGTTACAAGTAATGCATTACTCTAATCCGATTACTTTTTTCAAGTAACGAGTAAATTAAGGGATTACTATTGCAAAAAAGGTAATTCGATTATTGTTACTTTCCCGTGGAAGCAACTGCGTTACTGCGTTACTAAAACCTGATTTTTTTTCTTTTTTTGCAAGAATGTCTCATGACAATGACGTAAGCGAGTGCGACGTTCGTGACAAAGCATGGGAAGTACTGACCTTACTTTGAGTTTGATTCCATAAAAAGTGACAAAAACATTAGTGTCGTTGTGGTGGGAAGAAAATCTTTTACAGCGAAAAAAACCCCTAAACTGCCTACGACATAATGGGAAATTCACAGAGAAACTCGCAGATTCTTCCACTGACCGCGCACACCTGCACCAGGGTAAACCTCCGCCTACCCCACTCCTGCTTTACAGGTGAAAATAGAGCAACAGGACCGCTAGTCTTTGACTTTATTTATTTTCTGCTGTGTTTTACTTGCATCTATTTGAAAGACTGAGTGTAAACACAAAAAATATTTTATTTTATTATGTGCTGGAATGTGCAGAAAATAGGTTTAAATGTTAAACAATTTCTTCCAGTCAGAGAATGTTGCATATAATTAATTTTTGCTTGATGCATAAAGTTAAAAGATTAAAACTAATAAAACAAGTTTAAAAAGAGACTTTTCCATTTGATTACATTTTGTATGATGGATTATGCAGAAAAAGTAGAATTGGGCTGAAAGATCTATCGCTTTATCACCTATTCAGGTTGTAAATCATGTTTTTAAAAAGTAACTAAGTAACTAAGTAATTAATTACTTTTGAAAATAAGTAATCAGTAAAGTAACGGGATTACTTTTTGGGGAAGTAATCAGTAATTAGTTACTGATTACTTTTTTGAAGTAACTTGACCAACACTGGTTGTAATATACCTTACTTTGTCATAAAGTGATGCAGAAAATTTACAAAATGATTCATAAAAGTTTGCAAATGTGCAGAAAATATGTTTGACCTGAAAATATCCTGATAAAGAAACCCCCACCTCCTTACCCCCATACTCCAGCCTATGTATTGATAACATTCAGTTCCTGCAAACAGACGCACACTGTAAACTTGTTCAGTTATAATGAAAAAAAAACCTCGCTACAAGCCCCTTGCTCAGTCCAAAAAACAGCCTCAAATTTAGTTGAATCTTATCACCAGTTAGTTTCTATGAGCTGGAGACATGTGGCAAAACCATCACACCCAAACATGAGCCAGTGCACAAAGTTCAGTCAGGGGGAATTTCCGAGGCGAGGTCGTCCCTCCAGAGTCCGCTAACGAATCTACTGTGGCCTTCAGTTAACAAAAATAATGATGTGACAATTTAACAAGAAAGAGTTGTGAGTTAAATGTTGTTGAATCTCTGAGACTCAACAATAACACTGAGTGAAGAGCTAAAATAACATCACTCCCGAAAACTGGAATAACAACCCGGCTGTCATTTGCTTTTCTTGGCATGAGCCAGAGGCTCTTTAGCCGCTCGCGGCCGACATGTTTTACGACGGCATTCTCTCACTTGCAGCAGCATCTTCAATCAGCGAGTGGCTGAACAGACGAGAGGGAGTTTTAAATGAAAAACTCCGCTGGGCGGAGAGAGCCTCAGCTCGAAAACAGAGCTGCGGCCAGAAACGGAGTTTATGAAGCCAGAAACCTCAGCGGTTGGTGATATAATCACTGAGTCACAGGAACAAATCAGCGGCGCTATCAACACTCTGCAGTCTTGCTGTGTGATGGTCGGATGGGGTGTGTGGAAGGAAAAGTCACACTTGTTGTCTTTTCCAGCTTGATTAGTTCAACCATGTCACCATGACGTCTGTTTTTCTGACTTCAGCCTTAAAATTCAGCCTTCAATTGTAATGTCGATCTATCATTCAGTTTAATGATTAAAATGTTTAAATATACCTTTCGCGTTCCCTCACAGCGCAGTGTGATATCTGAAGTGTTCTCCTTGTGTCTGACCAGAACTCCAACCCACTCAGATTGACTCGCACATAAACCAAAGGACTGAAAGTCAAGTAGCGATGGAGTTGTCAATGTACAATTCAGTGTGGTAACTGGGAATGTGATTTTTAGGCAAATTAATTAAAAAAACAAAAACAGATTAGTCATTTTGGGGAGATTTCCCTGAATTTTAACACTTTGGATCGCCAAAACCTTTGGTGCCTCACCGAACATTTGCATAATGGGAGGACAGCAGATGAAATGTAGCCTCTTGATGCTCAATAATCCAGGTAAAGAAATCCGAAAGATTTGATTCAGTTTGTCTGAACACCACACTTTCAGCAGGAGAAACATTTCCTCAGTCATCCATTTGGATGTTCCAATAATATAATTTTGCTGAGTTGATATCTGTTAATAAAATAATGAACAACTAGAGAAACTAGAGACACAGGCATTATTAAGCATCGCAGGCCCATTAACATCACTAACAAAGGTCATTAAAATATTTTCCTAGCAGCAGATCAAGTATATTAGTAAGACAGCATTGCTCGCCAGTGAAAGCAAACAAATTTATCCAAACTGGAATATTCTCCATTTTTCTTCACAATCAGTGGCGTTACCTTGGCCTCCAGTAAGGCTGTGAAGGATGTTGGGATTGTTAACCAGGATATGTCTTTCAATGTCGGCAACAAATATGTGCATTTGTGCAACATCTCTAAAATTAGAAACTTATTGACTCAGAGTGATGCTGAAAAACTAGTTCATTCAGGTTAAAATACTGAAAAACCATCAGCTGATCCAAAATCCTGAAGTGAGAGTACTGACAGGGAGCAGAAAGAGAAAGCACATTGACTCTTTTTGACTGGCTCCACTGGGGACTCTTGAGCTACACCCTGTAGGCACACCAGCAGTTTGAGAATATTACCGCCCTTTGAAGCACGACTGACCAATAACATTGCTCCAGTGCTTTTGTTACAGGTGTTTCAAATTCTTTAATTAACTATGATTTTGAAATTGATTTCCCGTGCGTGCCTTGTTTGCACAGATTTTCCATATCAAACTCTTTGACAGTGTTTAAGACATTTACACACCTGTCAAATTTTGCCACTGTAAGTATACTTGTTTTGTTACTGAAACGTGACAATGCCCAAAGAACAAAGGCACACTAGCTGAATTTATTTATGCTGTATGTAGTTCAGCTCCATCATCAACTCAGGACGATGAGTCAAGGAAGTTGGAAAGAAGACAAAACGAATTTCTGCACTTAGCACTCTGGCAACAAAATGACAAGCTGATGGCTGCTGATTGTGCTTGCCTCTGTACTGCAGCTAGTTGACACACACACACACACACACACACAACAAACAAACACACACACACCACACACACACACACACTTACACAGACACACACTACACACACACACACATATCACGACTTGTGACATCTGTGGAGTGATAACTTTGATGTATGTAGTTTGTGGATGAAGTGAGCCAAAGAGCTTACAAAGCTTTAGGAGCGACACACGCACACACAGAGGGTGTAGTGTGTTTACTGTAACAGGATGGCGACTACCTAACACTGGCACATGTATGTACAGACAGAGTAGAGCTGTGGAGACCTGGCTTCTGTGGTCTTGTTCCGCTAACAGTAAATAAAGGTCTGTTGTTCTATTCAACTAACTGGCCTCCGAGTTGTCCCTCCAGATGCTAAGAAAAATTACAGTGGAACCCCGACTTACAAATACCCCGTTTAACGAAAAGTTCAAGTTACGAAGGCACTGAACGGCAATATTTCTGCCCGTGTTACGGCAAAATGCCCGTAACGAAATCCGCTGGCTCTGATTGGCTGAGCCTACAATGCCCACAATGCCTTCCGAATCATGTGACAACCCCTTGGCTTCGTAATTGCGCTTCGCTGTTCCACTTGAACGACGTATTGTTGTTCTAGTTAGCAATTAGCCTATAGCCTATCGTTCAGCATCGCCTCACTCAAAAGGCGCGATCGGTGCTTCAACTTGTGGGGCGATCGTGGCTCAAGAGTTGGGAGTTCAGCTTGTAATCGGAAGGTTGCTGGTTCGAGCCCCGGCTTGGACAGTCTCGGTCGTTGTGTCCTTGGGCAAGACACTTCACCCGTTGCCTACTGGTGGTGGTCAGAGGGCCCGGTGGCGCCAGTGTCCGGCAGCCTCGCCTCTGTCAGCGCGCCCCAGGGTGGCTGTGGCTACAATGTAGCTTGCCATCACCAGTGTGTGATTGTGGTGGATGACTGGATATGTAAAGCGCTTTGGGGTCCTTAGGGACTAGTAAAGCGCTATATAAATACAGACCATTTACCATTTGCGAAAATTTTCGACTTACGAAAGACCCACGGGAACATTTCGTAAGTCGGGGTTCCGCTGTATGTATCACACAACCACTTGGTGAATGGTTGTTGGAGGTTTCCTCTCTGTCGCTAGGAGAATTTGCCAGCTAGCAACAGCTACGTCCAAAAAGAGGCGAGGAAGTATACAGTGTCGCACACAGAAAACATATGTGTAATTTCTTCTTCTTTCCTACGGGTGACAAAAACTAAATTCAAATGTCTGCTCTCAGTTATAAAAATGTTCACCTAACATAACATGAAGGAGCAAACTATCCAAATGTATTTGAGTTTTTTCTGTAGCACACTGCAAATATGTTTTGTTTTTGTTTTGTTTTTAATGCCTTTTAGTTCAATATTTTAAAACAACAGTTTCTGGATATGTACTCACTTTGGGAGCCAGCCTCTAGTGTCCACATGAGGAACTACCAGTCCACAAATGTCATCAACTCTGTTATCCAGTCAGTGGGTCAGCATTTAATGGCTTCAGGTCATTTAAAACAATATTCAGCCCCTGAAAGAGGGTCTCAGACTAAAACCTGCTGCCCCCTCGACCTGATCGTACTGAGTGGGGGTATGTCCTGCCTCCATGATGCCACCATGATGGCACCGCAACACCAGCATGAAAAGGAATGAACAGATCCTGGGATTATTGCTCCACAGTAACAGACACGAAAGAGTCAGAGGGAGAAAATTAATATTTGCATTCAAAGGTTGCCAAGTGCAACTTTTTGTTTGTGGAAAATCTCCTTGCTATATTAAGTAACAGCAACATGCTGTCGTATTCTGCAAATCACAGAGGGGGGTAATTTTAATTCAGGTGTGAAAAGCTGTACTTTATGTCAGCATAACAAAGTCTCACACGCAGATAAAAAGGACGACTGAGCAAATGGAAAGAGAAAGAGAGGAACTTGATGTGCAGCAGCTGCACAGTGAAGCCCATTAGCACAAAGGTGAGACGGGATCAGTTTCTGTCTGCCAGTGTGGCGTGAATTTACCAGAGGCTATAATAGCTATACTGTAACACACACCACGCACACACACAGATTTCCAGTATGGATGTGGAGATGCAGTGAGACCTGTGTTGATGGAGTGGCTGCAACATCTTTCAGCACAATTTGAGAACACTTAGAGAAGAATGAAGCAGACTTTTAAAGGTAAATCACCTTCTATTATTATTATCCTTTATTGATACAGGTGAAAAGTCTCATTGGGATTTGAAATCTAATTTCCAAGAGAGACCTGGTCAATAGGCAGCAAAAGTTACAACAAATCGCATAACAAGTAGAAACCCAAATATTCAGTACAAACCAGTGAGCACGTGTGAATCATATGCAATAGCAGGTCATTAAGAGCGACATTAAAAACAGTAACACTGACCAAAAGATTTATTCTATCGCTCCTTTAAAATAGATATAAAGCTGCTGAGTAGCTGGATAGTGGTGGTAGTGGTAAGACTACACGGATCCCAGGACACACTGATGAGAGTTGGCCTACGGGAACAAGAAGACACAAGTGGGAAGTTATGAGAACACCTCGCTGTGGGAATGTTAGTACACTTGTAACCCCAAATTCAAATTTTATTTGTCACATACACAGTCATACACAGTACGATATGCAGCGAAATGCTTAGACAACTGCTCGCGACCTAAAGAAAAAAAGACTATGAATAGGATAGGAAATAAATATGAAAATTAAAATGAAGGGTAAATTTAGCTAAGAAGGAATAAAATAGAATATAAAAATTAAAGTTAAAAATAAAATAACTGTACAACAAAATACACAATACACAAATACACAATATAGAAATATATAATATATAAATAAAATATATATATATAGAGAGAGAGAGAGAGAGAGAGAGAGAGAAATATAAAGTCCAGGGTTGTGCAAGAAGAAGGGTTGAGTGTGAGAGGAACGGACCTGAAAGAGAGTTCATCGGGATAGATAGATATTTTAGTGCTGTCAGGCTGACAGAGTAACGCTGACAGTGTCAGCGTTACTCTCGTTAAAATGACATTAACACCATAACTGCATTAACGCGGCAAATCTCCGTTAACAAGCTTACCCCGCGCGTGGGGCTACACGGCGTCAACGCGTTTGCACGGTTAGCTCATGCTAGAAAACAAATATTATATTAAAGGTGCATGGTTTTCTTATTGTGCCCTCAATGCTAAATCTTAAAATTGCATTATGTAAGCTACAAAATGTCAGGTATACAAAACAATGGTGTTGCACATAACTTGCTGGAAATGTGTGGATGCTACACCGATAGCTACGGTAAAAACTTTTGATAGTTATTGTGAAAAAAGCACATATTTGGATTAGATCTTCCCTACACGCATAAAAATCTGTCACACTCACTGATTCCTTTCACCTCTAGTGGACTGGATACAAAGTGGAGCTCTGTTACTGTTACAGACACTTCACGTTAAAAATGGTTCCTTAAGGTTGGAGTCTTTGACTTTAATGAAATCCCCACCAGTGATGTAGTCAGTGCAGCCATGAGTGGTGACAACCCTCCCAAACTCCATGTGATAAACCTGCTGGTACCTCCAGCATTATGTATATTTTTCTCAGCCTGAAATGGACACAGCTGAGGAGAAATAGGTTTATGATATTTAGGTAAACAAATTTATTCTTAATTTTTTCATAATTTCCATTTCATATCACAATGTATTTGCTCCATATCTCCATATAACCCATTTATAGATGAATTTTTTAAATATATATTTTTTATCTGTAATTTTTCCATGTATTGTTTGAGTTCCTGTCTTTCTTTCAACATTTCTTTCTTTCGCTGACAGGCTTGTAAGCTGGCATGTTTTCCAAGCACCAAGCGGTTGTTTCAGTCTTTAATGGACATAAATAAAAAGGCAGATCTTCTTTCAGGGCTTCTATAACCCAAGTGTTGACCCTGTACCTCTGTACAAGAATAAACAAAATGAATCAGAATTCATGTTTTGAGGATCTATCATTGAAAGAAGGAACCTGGTGTTATGAAATTGCAGCTGTTTCCCATTTTCTGCCTTCTGTTTGTCTGCAGGAACATTTCTGGAGTCTGGATAAAGCCGAGACTAAACTGGCTCCTAAACTGACCATTCAGATCTGGGACAACGACAAGTTCTCCTTTGACGACTACCTAGGTAAAAACCATCACTTTGAGTGTCTGTGTTTGTTTTTTCTGGCGTGCCACATTGTGTTTACTGTGAAAATGAGGTGAGGTCTTTAAAAAAAAAATCATAATTTATCTCATCCTGCTGTCACAGCTGGTTGGTCCCAGAGATTTTAGACCCATGATGTGTGGTAAAAACATAATTGGATTTCCTTCACGAAACTTCAGTGAAATCAAAGTCGGACTAAAAGCCATTTCTTCTGTTCGTTGATTTACTGTAAAACGTGTAAATGGATCCGTATTCTCCAGGTCAGAAACACATGTGCTCGACTTTGGATGGTTGAAATGCACTTAACTCATTTGTGTATGACATTTAGACAGATTTCCCCTCATTTCTAGCTCAAGGTTTAGAGGTAAATATATCCAGGGAACCATATGTGCGATGTACGAACAGCTACTGTGATAACATTTATCTTTAGAATTAGCACTCGCCCGTTTCCACTGTGTCTGCACATTTTACAGCAAGGGAGGGGCTGCTTTTTCTGCTTTTTTTTTTCCTCGAGTCTCAAGCTGTCCAAATTCTGCCTTTCCTTCACCCCTAACGCTGCCCCAGCCCATTCCCTTAAAATAACTTACCACCGAGATTCTCCCCTTTCGCTCCCCCTGCATGGGTTCAGCTTCTTTTCTTTATTTTTGCCAAAGAAGGGAGGATGACAGTCTATGGACGGAGCGTCCCTCTGCGGTGAGAGACAAGGAGGAAGATGAGGAATCCAGATTCTGACCTGTTCCTGTCTGTCACCGTCTCGCTCTGCTGCAGCGTTTTCTCCCGCTCGACTTTATTCACCTCATAGAGTCTGCGGGTGTGTGGCCACCTCAAAGCATTTTTTCCATGCCTGCCTGTCTTCAGCTCGTCGGCTCGGACCGCCGACTGTTAATCTTCCTGCACGGTGTGCGGGTCAGACACGAGCCATTTTCCTGCGGTTGTACTGTCAAACTGAAGCTAACTCTGGAAAAACACTTCCAGTGGATCTCTGGTCTCTCTTCAGCCCACAACGTAATGTCAACAAAGATCAAACCTTTTACTAGCTACCCTTCACCACAGGGTCGCCAATAATTCACTCAGCGCACGCTCGATAATTAGTCATTCAGAAAAACTGGCTAAACAGACAGCTGAATCTGCTGAGTTTTAGAGATCTAAGCCTTGCTTGCCCCAAAATATCCATCTCCTCCAACCCTGCTTTAACAAATACAGAGTTCAGGCTGTAAAATATTTCACTGCACGAAAAGTGCAGTTTATCGGCTAACAGAAAACTCCCGGGAATTGTCGTGGTTGACATAGTTTGACTTCCTGTCAGATTTATGGATGTTCACCTGGCAGAAAGTTGTTTTTTTTTCCTCCATTGTTTGTGTGATCTTTACATCGTCTCATGAGATGTTAAACCTTGAGCCAATCATAGCTTGACATTTTCATATCTAGTACAATGTCATTAGGAAAGAGCTGCAAGGGAAACAACATGAAGAGAAACAAGAGGATATCATTGGTTAATGTTGTTGCACGAAAAGGTGCCCTATCGAGAGTTTACACTGCATGTTTCCCCAGCTTTTATTATTCTGATCCATCAATGTGGGACAATGAAGGCATTTTTTATATTCACAAGTGTAAAGCTAATGCTAACTGTCTGTGCACCATCGTCTTAAACTGAGTAGCTAAGTAGACCTTTTTGGGCCTGAGTAACTATATGTGCCATTGTGACCTTTTAATTCATAAAAACGTTTCCTAGTGTGAATTTTTGAATTGACCCGTTCTCAAAGAGTATGAAATTAAGCAGCAAAGGTATGTGTGAGAGCAGGAGAAATACTTACAAATCAAACACTTTTCATCTCTTTGTGAGGTGGATTGTGGGTAATGAGTTTTCTTCCTGCTAAGGTGGCTGTTGTGTCATTGTTGTTTAGTTTAATCTGCTTGGTGGCTGTATTTTTTCACATTCTAACAAAGCCCCTTTTCCATTATGTGTGTGGCTGTCGTCATAGCAACACGTCTGAGCGTCCGCAACATAATCAATATGCGACATGAATGCTACAAAATCAATTGATAATCCTGGGGCTGGATAGTTTAGACGTTTTAATGTAGGAAAAAAAAGGAAAATATCAGACATCAGTATATTCAGCAGGTGTTGTTATCATCATTATTAATTTATTGTGTATATGAGTCTCTGTCTAACTGTAGTGTGCTTGTTTCTTTAGGTCACCTGGTGATGGACCTGAACCACATGTTGCGTCCAGCAAAGTCTCCAGAGAAGTGTACCCTTCAGGTGCTCGACCAGCCACCGGACAAACTGGTGTCTCTGTTTGAACAGAAGACTGTCAAAGGCTGGTGGCCCTGCACCTGCGAGAACAATGGAGAGAAGATCATTGCTGTGAGAGCACAAACACACACACACACACACACAACCATTTTCAACAGGGTGCGAAAACATATAAGCCCACTGCCCTTTTTGTTTTTTGCACATTTGTCACACTTAGCACGCTTCAGGCTCATGAAACAAATTTTAATGATAGATCAAAGTAAACCAAGTCCATGCCAAATGCAAGAAAATCTTGGAATATTTGTAATTCATATGCCATGCAGTTATTTATCAAACACTGGCACTGAGTATTTTACTATGTATTGACATGAAGTTTAAAATCCCTTAATTCCCATAAAGACAAAGTAAAGTAAACATCATTCAGCCGCTGAGCAATATCCGTTTTACCCACCTGCCAGTCGTGCCTACTTTGTTCTCTGAAGAAAGGATGAGACAAACTGTGTGTTTGCTGCCTCCATTTCAGGGGAAGGTGGAGATGTCTCTGGAGATAGTGACAGAGCAGGAGCAAGAGGAGAGACCAGCCGGCCTCGGCAGAGATGAACCCAACATGAACCCTCACCTGGAGGAGCCTCAGTGAGTCTACACACACATACACACACTAAAAACCACACACACAAATATAGTTTCTCATTCTCGTCTTTTCTTCTCTCAGGCGTCCAGAGACATCCTTCCTGTGGTTCTCCTCCCCTTACAAGACCCTCAAATACATCCTGTGGAGACGGTTCAAGTGGTTCATCATTCTCTTCATTTTCCTCTTCTTCATTATCCTCTTCCTTGGAGTCTTCCTCTACTCCTTCCCGGCAAGTTTTTGTGTGTGTGTGTGTGTGTGTGTGTGTGTGTGTGTGTGTGTGTGTGTGTGTGTGTGAAAGAAAGAAAGAAAGAAAGAAAGAAACTGTGACTAAGCAGATTCAGGGAGCTTCATTGCAGCAGAGACAGAGAGGAGGCGGCTCCAGTCACACAGGTTTAGAAACTGGTTGCCAACCATCTGGCAACCTCTAGATGCTATTGAAAAACGAGTAAGCAATCAGCACCGGCCTCCAGCAACCGGTCGGTTGCTGTGATTGCTGGAGGCTGGTGGCAGTTTCAGTGAAATTGATTGCTAAAACCTCAGTAATGCAGGCCTAGAGATCGGTCATTGATAAGCGGTGGTAACCACCGAGGAAGATGGTGGTAATCACCGCTTGCTAGGGAAAAATGCATAATCCCCAACTGGTTGGCAAGTGGTTGCTGGAGATGCTTAACAAGCTGCACCATAACCTTCCTTGCAATTACTTCTAAGATTGCCGCGGCCCCCGGTTTGCATGGAAGACACGGACTTGTCTCCAAAAGCTGTTTGCCAAATGTGTACTGAGCGAGAGTGAAATTGAAATTCGCTTTCATAGGAAAGGTTGTGACTTACCACTGAAGTCAAAAAGACACAACTTATTTTGGTTTGTATCTCACTTTCTTAAATTTCATGGTTAGTTGTCAAGGGATTGCAGACCGAATGCAAACATCCAGCAACCGCTTGCCAGTCAGTAAGTAAATAACAGTTTTTCCTGAGGGACTAGAAGTTGCCGGGGTGCCACCAACCAGTCTCTAGGTCTGTGTGACTGAAGCCGTACACGGAATAACACTGGGAAAATGAGACACGGAGGCAAAGACAAGGCAAACGAAGTGTGCTGAAAACTAAAAGAACATTAAGAAATTACAAACTCAATGTAAAAAATAAGAAATTGTAAAAAAACAAATTTTGACTCTTTAAGTGACAGTTGAGGGGGAGAAAATGAAGAAGAGAAAGCATTAGCAACAGAAAGAAAGGAACTTCCTGCATTATTTTGTGTTTTTCCTCTCACAGAACTATGCTGCCATGAAGATGGTGGGACCATTTGGACCAGCCAAGGAAACAACTTAAGATGAGGAGCATTTGAAGGAAAAGACAAACAGACGTGAACAAACGGAGACAATGAGAAACCACACCACTGTTCTGAGAGTGAAACAAGCACGGATTTTATTAGCCCTTTCTTCTTCTTTTTGAGACTTTTTCTGTTGTCTTCCTGGAGTCATGAGTCATGAAGTCAGCCAAATTGTCAGATCCAGATGTCCTTTGATATATATAGTCACACCTGATTAGCAGTGGCTGTATGTGCGCTTATGTTTGATATGTGTGCATTTTGTGCCTTTACAGTTAGATTCACTTCTGTACTTCTGTGGTGAAAGCGTTTCCAAAGTTACTATCAGAACTCAGCGTGTGCCGTCTGCATCGCCGTCATCCCTCAGTCACCGCTTTCATCTCTCTTCCCGCCTCGCGCTCTCTCTGCTGCCCTCATGCAGGGGAGGACAAGAAGAAAAGCTCGCCGCTGAGTGAGGCTGCGCTCCGAAACGGCAGAAACAGAATTAAAGATTGTGATTTTGATGGTGTTTGATCTTTTTACCGCCCGCTGCTTCCCTGCGAGAGGCATAGTCAGGTCAGGCAGTCAGTTTACCGACTCATGTCAAACTTTATCACTCCAAAAAATTCAATCTGAGGTTAAAGCGTGGCGGGAGTTTTCAGCTATCATTCTCTTTGAATCACCTTTTAATGTTGTTGCCCTGCTGCTTTCAAGTGCAATCAGACTTTTATTTTTAAAATTTTCAGATCAGAGTTAAGTTGTTAGAAGTGAAACATAATATCCAGGCTGGGTGTTTTTTTTTCTTTGATTATATTTTTATTACAGCAGGTCACATATGATGCCTTCAGGTTGTGTGGGATTTCCCAGCACTTACTGAATACTGTTAAAAACAAATTTTCGAGCTCCTCTCCTTAACTATCAGTTCTTCTCCTTCTTTTCCCTCATCTTCCTCCGTTTTCCCCCTCCTCCTTCTCTATCCAACCTAATCCCTCTCCTCCTCAGGGTTCAGCAGGTTAAGTCAGGGATTTGCTTTTGAGCCGTATTATTACACAGCATGTTTTAGATAGATGATGTGGGCTGATACGGACACACAAGGACACATTGTGTTGTTGTTCCTTAAACCGCTCAAGCTTTAGTGTGCAAAGCCGAACATCGGTGAACGATAAAGAAGAACAGAGTCATGATTTGAAAAATATTATGTAAAGTCTCATTTTTGCTTATATTTATTATCTTCTTTTCTTTGGGTGCAACCACATCCTGGCTTAGTTTGGTTTGCTCCACAGTGGAAAAGTTGACTTGGACCCTTTTAGTTCATTTTAGGTTCAAACCAGCTGGTTACAGGTCGAGCAGGCCTCGTAAATAAAAGTCACATCGACTCACAAGCAGCTCATTCACGTGAGCACGTTTGGTAACCTGTCGTCCTGCCAGGTCAGAGAGGATTTACCTCCAAGCTTCACTACATCAGCATATATCACAGTTTCTGAGAGTAGGTGGTTTTTTGTGTGTGTTCTGTTTGTTTGTTTGTTTTTTACGTTACCGTATTTCAATGTTCACCTTTAAATGCTGCATTTTTCTCTTTTTTTGTATTTTTTTTTTTAATCAGAGATTTGATTCAACTAAAAAGGCAAAAAGTCTCACGAAAACCAAATTCAAAAACCTCTGAGGGTAAGGCTTACTAAAGTGCATTTGATTTATGCTGCAGATACATATGAAATGAAATCAAGTGCTTTATGATTATTTTCCAAGTACTCACAGTATGTTGAGTTTCTGCATAGCATTTAACCTCCCTTTTTGAATGTAGGGAATTAAGTTTTGAAGTATGAATTCCATAGTTTCTGTCTTAATTAGCCAAAGTGTGGAGGACCAAAGCTGCCAGAGAAAGACAAAAGTTAACATCAGAAAATGAATGAATATGGCATTAAATGTAGAAAATTAAAATTATAAATATATAAGCATTATTTTCTTTTAAAAGCTTGTGGATGAAATGCATAATAAATATATTTTGAATATTACAAAATTTTCAATTGTTATACATTTTTTATGTACTTATGCACCTTTTGTGTAACTTTCACTTTATTATTTACCATTTATTTTGCTTTTTTTTTTTTAAATCAGTTTACTCATTCTTAAATGTATTTATTTATGTATTAAATGGCAGTGCTATTTTCACAATGATTAATTAACTTCTTGGACACAAAGCCTCCTGGTGTTGATCAACCACGAGGATGATCTTAAAGAAAGTTTCCCAGCATATATTGAACAAATACTAAAAGCCACACCTTGGTGGCCACACTGTTTTTTTTTTTTTTTTCATCATGAAACTGAAATGTAAAATAAAAAGGTTTGAGGGAAAAAATTAATGGAAAAAATAGGAAAGTAAACAGACTGGTTGTACAGGTAATTAACGAGCATAATTAACCAAAAAAAAAGAAGAAAAATCCTACATGGAGTGTATTAGTTGCAATGCGTGTAATGCCATATTTATTTATTAGGTCTTTTTTAAAATGATAATTTGTTTAAATTTTGACAGTTTTAGTCCTCCACTGTTGACTTCCTAACTTTAATGCACTAAAAAAAACCAACTTTATTATAATTTTAGTTTGTGAGAGAAAAGAAGGATCAGACTAATAAACTTCAAATGTATTTAAAAAAAAAACAACCCACACACACTTTACATTTTTATTCTAAAACATTTCCAGCAGACACAGCTGGAACACCAAATACCCCAAATCTGCCTGACTGTGGGATGTTTAAAGTGTCTGATGGTTTCAAGCTAGTTATGGGGAAGTATTTCAGGTTACTTCTCACTGGCCTGAGGGTCTTCCAGATGTTTATATTGCAGATATTCTTGGTTCATATACAAGTTTATTATAATAATAATAATAATGATAATTATTATTATTGTTGTTGTTATTATAGCTAATAAAAATGATGCAAACAGTATAGTTTAGAATTGTTTGAATTAAAAACTTAAAAACTTTAGTAGTTCTGCAGGTCCTACAGTAATAATGGATGGATGAATGTCATCTGCAGGTGAACATTTGTGCGTTTAAAAAAGACCATAATGCTAAACAACATGCAAAGTTCCTGTGCTTTGTGTCGTAATGCATCAGATCTCTGTTTAGAGGTGGGCATTATTGTCAATTAAGCAGAAAAAGCAGAATATTTCTTCAGCTTTTTTAAGTTTGTAACTTTTGTTTTAGAGTTATGAAATACCTTTATATATTGAAGTTCTGCTGATGTTAACAAGTCTTGAAAGGGTGAAATTTTACTGAGACAATCCTGCTTACAGTGCCATATACACTGGTTATTTGAAGTCTCGAGAAGCCGAACATTAACTCAGCACTGTTTTGACCTGACATTATTCTTCTCAGTGAATGCAACGTGCCTTCAAGTCGTTAGCCTTTAGCTTTGCTGCCTTGTCGTATAGCAACACTAGCTAACACCTTCCTCAACAGGAAACGAAAACAAAATCACATGCTTCTGTGACAGTTTAATGCTGCTTATCTCTTCACTGTTATCTGCAGAAACCAGGGGTTGATCTTGTTCTTTGAACCTATTGTTTTACTCTTCTTGTAAACTGCACTGTGCTTCAGTTTTAGACACAAGCAGGGCTCTGCTGCTGGCTGTGATAAACTCCTGCTGCCAAAAAACTGCACTGAAAAATAACACGCGGGGACTTTGTCATGTGAAAGGACAAAGCCCTTTGCTGTTACTGTTTAATGTTTTGTGGGAGATGTGCACTGAATGTTTTCTACACAAGATATGAATTAGACTTCATAGCTGCAGAGAGAAATACTGTGTGCACTGCATTATGTCTGTATTATCAATAAAACTGCACTCTTACCCTTCGACTAGTGAGTTTAATTAGATGCATTAGCGAGAAGAAACATAAGCCATGTGTACGTCACATGAAAAAACGTGACCTGAAGTGAGGACTCATACACAATACAGATGTTTTTAGATACAGCTTGACTGACACGGTAAGTAGATGTGAGTATATAATTGTTATATCATCGGCTTACAAATACTAAAACTTACCAGAGTGAGTACTCTTCTCTATAAACAGCTGTCTGTACATTAACGCAAGTAATAGAGTATGACAAAGGCACCAGAGGTCGTCAGAAATTACAGTGCAACCAAAGTATGCAGAAGAGCATCTCAAGCCCTGAAGCAGATTGGCTATAAATGCATAAGATCACACCAGGTGAATCGGAAGCTGAGGCTATAATTTTCAGAGGTTCACCAAAACTGGGCAATAGAAAATTGGAAAAATGTTGCTGCTCTTGATTTCTGCTTCAATATTCAGATGGTAGGGTCAGAAGTAGATATAAACAACATGGAAGCATGGATCCATCCTGCATTTTTATTATCAGTGCGGGCGGGTGTGGGGATAAGTTTCATGGCACACTTTGGCCCCCTTAGTAGCATTCAAGCATGGTTTGAATGCCACAGCCTACCTGAGAGATAGTATATATTGGTGTGTGTATATATATATATAGATAAGTATATATTGTGTGTGTGTATATATATATATGTATATGTATATATATATATATATGTATATGTGTATATATACATATATACATATATACTTATTGTGACAGCACACTGTATCCTCTCCACGTGCCTGTGTTCCTGTAGCAGCTGCTTCAGTCTTCTTAATGCAGATATAATGCTGTTAATATTTATTGTGACATGTGTCTGTGAAGGTTCTCAGTCATCCAGGTCATCGTAGTCAAAGGAGCTTGCAAAGAAAAGCGTCTGGACTTCTTTAAGTTGCTTGAAGACGTTTCACCTCTCATCCGAGAAGCTTCTTCAGTTCTAAGGTCAAATGGTGGAGAGTCCCAGATATAAACCTAGTGGGATG